TTTACATTTTGAGACAGGGTCTCGCTCAGTTGCCCAGGCTGGAGTGCAGTGGTGCAATCATGGCTCACAGCAGCCTCAACCTCCCAAGTAGCTAGCTGGGACTACAGGGGCCCACTATCATGCCTGGATAGTTTTTTTTTTTTTTTGTATTTTTTGTAGAGACAAGGTTTAGCCATGTTGCCCAGGCTGGCTGTCCTCAATCTCCTGGGTTCAAGCTATCTGCCCTCCTTGGCCTCCCAAAGTGCTGGGATTACAGGCATGAGCCACTATGCCTGGCCTCAATTTTTAGTTTTACTTTCTAAAAGTCCTTCTAGAGACAGGATTTCATCATGTTGCCCAGGCTGGTCTTGAACTTCTGGGCTCAAGCTATCTGCCCTCCTTGGTCTCCCAAAGTGCTGGGATTACAGGCATGAGCCACTATGCCTGGCCTCAATTTTTAGTTTTACTTTCTAAAAGTCCTTCTTGCCCATACTAACTTGTCTTCCACTTTAAGTTCAGAATCATACTTCTCATCTAGAGCAGTGCTATGGTCTTGTTGACTTGTCTCCCTGCCTTTGGCATCCCCCATTCACCTCCATTCCACTCTTACACCAGAGATATATGTCTAAAACAGAAAAGAAAATCTACTCAGGTCACTTTCCTGCCTAATCCTTCCATAGTTTCTCATTACCCATCAATAAAGATCACAGTTTTTTACATGGCACCCAAGGCCTTCCATGACCTGGCACCTGCCTGCCTCATCCCCTGCTAGTCTTTTTATTTATGCCTCATCCAGTGTCAACCATTCACAGTTCCCCAAAGATGTTGTGCTCTTTCCTTCCTCTGTGCCTTTGCATATACTGTCCTGTTTGCCTGGAATTCCCTTACTATCTTGTCTTGGAGGCAATGTAATGCAATAATTAAGAACACAGACTTAGGAGCCAGACTGCCTTACTAAAATCCCAGCTCTGCCACTTAACTACCTTTGTGACCTTGGTCAAGTTATTTAGCCTCTCTGTGTCCGTCTTAATCTATAAAATGGGGATCAATAATACCTGTTTTATAAGGTATTACAAAATTTGAGTGAGTCAACA